GGGCCGGTCACTCCGCTTCGCTGCCCCTCCGGGGGGACGTCTGTGGTTCGGATGATTCCGCTGGTTCAGTTCTTGGGAGCTTGGTTAGAGCTTCCCAACCTGTCCCGCTGGGTTGCCCGAACTATCAGGCTCGGCTATGCGATCCAATTCGCACGGTCTCCTCCCCGCTTCAGGGGAGTCCGCTTTACTATGGTCGGTGGCAATGCCCCGATCATGAGAGCTGAGGTTGCCACCCTGCTGGCGAAGGGTGCAATCGAGACTGTCCCTCCAGCCGAAATGAGGTCAGGGTTTTACAGCCCGCACTTCATTGTCCCCAAGAAGACCGGTGGGTTACGGCCAATCCTGGATCTGCGCATCTTGAACCGCTCCCTTCACAGGCTGCCGTTCAAGATGCTCACGGCCAAACGCATTTTCGAATGCGTGCGGCCACAGGATTGGTTTGCAGCGATAGACCTGAAGGACGCCTACTTTCATGTCTCCATTTTACCTCGACACAGACCGTTTCTTCGGTTTGCTTTCGAGGGGCAGGCATACCAGTACGCGGTTCTCCCATTCGGGCTGGCCCTGTCTCCTCGCGTCTTTACGAAGGTCGTCGAGGCAGCCCTTGTTCCCCTAAGCGAACACGGGGTTCGCATCCTGAATTATCTCGACGACTGGCTAATATTAGCTCACTCTCGAGATCAGGTTTGCGAACACAGAGACCTTGTGCTCCGGCACCTAGCCCGTCTGGGCCTTCGGGTCAACTGGGAGAAGAGCAAACTCTGCCCCGTGCAGAGGATCTCTTTTCTCGGTATGGAGATCGACTCGGTCGCCATGTCCACGCAGCTTACGAGCGAGTGCGCACACTCACTGCTGACTTGTCTTCGACAGTTCGATGGCGAGTGCGATCCCACTGAAATTGTTTCAGAGGCTCCTGGGGCATATGGCATCTGCAGCCGCGGCAACGCCACTCGGATTGCTTCATATGAGACCGCTTCAGCTGTGGCTTCGCGATCGAGTCCCGAGGTGGGCATGGCATCATGGCACGCTCCGAGTCCCAGTGACTCCGACCTGCCGTCAGACCTTCACCCCGTGGAGGAACCTCAGTTTTCTACGGGCCGGAGTTCCCCTAGAACGAGTTTCCAGGCATGTTGTTGTCTCCACAGATGCCTCGTCCACGGGCTGGGGCGCCATGTGCAACGGACATGCTGCCGCGGGCTCCTGGACAGGACCCCAGCGCCTTCTGCATGTCAATTGCCTCGAGTTGCTGGCAGTATGCCTTGCCCTGCACCGTTTTCGAACGTTGCTCAGGGGTCAACACGTACTAGTCCGTTCAGACAATACCGCGACAGTAGCGTAATCAACCGTCAAGGTGGTCTACGCTCCCGCCGTATGTCGCAACTCGCACGCCACCTCCTCTTATGGAGTCAGAAGCACCTGAGGTCCCTTCGTGCTATTTACATTCTGGGAGATCGGAACTTTGCAGCCGACGAGCTGTCACGGTTTCGGCCCATCTCCGGCGAATGGCGACTCCATCCCCAGACGGTCCAGCTGATTTGGGACCAGTTCGGGGACGCACAGGTAGACCTGTTTGCCTACCACGACTCATCCCACTGCGCCCTGTATTACTCCCTGACCGAGGGCAGACTCGGCACGGATGCACTGGCGCACAGCTGGCCGCGGGGCCTCCGCTTATATGCGTTTCCCCCAGTGAGCCTTCTCGCACGGACCCTGTGCAAGATCAAGGAGGACGAGGAGCAGTTCATTCTGGTGGCGCCGTACTGGCCCACCCGGACCTGGTTCTCCGAACTGATACTCCTCGCAACAGCACCTCCTTGGCCAATTCCTCTGAGGAAGGACCTCCTTTCTCAGAGACGGGGCATCCTATGGCACCCTCGTCCCGATCTTTGGAACCTCCACGTGTGGCTCCTGGACGGGACGAGGCAGGTTTGAGTACCCTACCACCAGCGGTGGCGGCTACCATCACTTCCGCTAGAGCATTGTCCACGAGACACGTCTATGCGTTGAAGTGGAACATCTTCGTCAACTGGTGCTCTTCTCACCGAGAAGACCCCAGGAGATGCTCGATCAGTGTCGTGCTTTCCTTCCTGCAAGATGGGTTGGAGCGTAGGCTGTCTCCCTCCACCCTGAAGGTGTATGTGGCCGCTATCGCCGCTTATCACAAAGCAGTTGAAGGTAAGTCTCTTGGAAAGCACGACCTGATCATCAGGTTCCTGAGAGGAGCGAGGAGACTGAATCCTCCTCACCCTCCTCTCGTTCCCTCTTGGGACCTCTCGGTGGTGTTAAATGCCCTGCAGAGGGCTCCCTTTGAGCCTCTGCAATCAGCTGAGCTTAAGATCCTGTCAATGAAGACAGCGCTCCTGGTTGCGTTGGCCTCCATCAAGAGGGTAGGGGACCTGCACGCATTCTCCGTTGACGAAGCGTGCCTGGAGTTCGGGCCCGGTCACTCTCACGTGATCCTGAGACCCCGGCCTGGATATGTGCCCAAGGTTCCCACCACTCCCTTCCGGGACCAGGTGGTGAACCTGCAAGCGCTGCCCCGGGAGGAGGCAGACCCAGCCTTGGCACTGCTCTATCCAGTACGCGCACTCCGTGCTTACGTAGACAGGACGCAGTGTTTCAGGACCTCAGACCAGCTCTTTGTCTGTTATGGTGGGAAGCTGAAGGGAAAGGCTCTCTCCAAACAAAGGTTGTCTCACTGGATAGTGGACGCCATTGCTTTGGCATACCAGCAGCAAGGTCGACCATGCCCCCTTGGTGTGACCGCCCACTCCACCCGGAGTGTGGCGTCCTCTTGGGCTTTAGCGCGTGGCGCCTCGCTAACAGACAACTGCAGAGCTGCAGGCTGGGCGACACCTAACACATTCGCCAGATTTTACAATCTCCGAGTGGAGCCAGTCTCCTCCCGTGTACTGTCTTTTTCAAGCTAACACGGGAACCGTTAGGTGTCTTCGCTTGCTCGCCACTCCACTCCACGGACTGGATACGTGCGATATTTCCTCAGGTGAGCCTTCCTCTCTGAAGCCCTGAGTTCCTCCAGCACTGTTGACGCTGGCGCCAGTGTCTATTGCCTGTGCGTCGGCTAGGTGCCTCCGTGTGCATGGTTCCTCCTCTGAGTAACCCCCACATGTGTATTTCCACTGTAAGCCTCTTTGAGCATGTGTCTTTCCCTCGGCAAACCACCTTGCCACTCCTGGAGTTGAAAGTTGCCACCCCACGGGCTGGTTACTCCAGTGTTCCTCCATATGTAGCCCCCTCGGGCCATATGTGTATTCTAAGTCCTCCCTACGGGTAGGCATGCTGCGCCATGTCTCCCCTGAGATATGCTTCCCAGTGTACCTTGGTATTTCTCTGTTAAGTTGGACTCCTTCGTCCGTGCCTATATCACGACAGGGAGGTCAGACTTCGCAGGGCACTGGAAGACAGCTGTGAAGGTGGCGTGATTACACGGGGACCCCCATTCTCCGTCATCCGACGTAACTCGGAGTGACTACGAAAGGGAACGTCTCGGTTACGGATGTAACCCTCGTTCCCTGAGTAGGGAACGGAGACGTTACGTCTCCCTGCCACTTCCGCTGTACCGCTGGGTAGACGCCTGAGTTCAGTCTCGGCTCCTCAGCGAAGACATGATCTGCTGTTGCAGGTGTCTCTCCTTAAATACCCACGCGGTGGGGCGGAGATACATTATGCAAATTCCGCAGACCCATGGCATTTTTTTGCCATTGGCTCGTTTTTTAATACTCGAAGAGGACTGGCTTTCTAGCGAAACCCCCATTCTCCGTCATCCGACGTAACGTCTCCGTTCCCTACTCAGGGAACGAGGGTTACATCCGTAACCGAGACGTTTTTCATAAGCTTTACATTTAAGGAATTTGAGGTTCATTTGTTCAGATGGTTTTAAATATTTGACATAATTAGCATTTAAATTCATAAACTCTGCTGTTTCTAAATTGTACATACAGCACAAAAACACCAATGCAACATGAAACGAGCTCGGTCTCTGTTTAGACACCAGCGTATGTGCCGTTATAGAAGAAAGGCTTGTCTGAGACACAGTGACCTACGACCTCTGGAGTCCACCTCTGCACCTTCGGCTGGCCCTTCTCATCGGGCCGCACGATGACCGTGCTGCGGGACGCTGCGGGTCCTCATCAAAAAAGTTGAAGGGACGTAGGAAGAATCCCACCGAGTTTCCCGAAGTCGCTGTGTTGGGAATGTCTTCAGAATGAGGATGTAACGGTGGTGGCCGCCCTAATACAAATAAATGACTTTAAAGAAAAGTTCGGGCGCCAGACAGGATAAAACCTGTCAAAATTTAAATGAACCCAGGATAGCCAAAAAATAACCACCTGTTACACACAAAAAAAATTATAGTAATAATCAAAAAGGAAAAATCATTTCACAAAGGATATTTATTCATAATAATACTAATAACACACAAAAAGTTCCACGGTATATCTCATCTCTGACGTTTCTTTAAATCCGTGCAAAACTTCCCACGTCTTCACTTCAACGCAACATCAACGCAACATCCACGCGTCCCATCGCGTCACAACGCGTCACACATTTGCAGGCAAGAAACAGGTGTAGTGAGTATCGAGTGTCCTCTTCGACACTAGGATAGGCGGATACAGCAGCTTCGGCTTGTCTTTAAAACAGCTCCATCATTGTTTGTCTGGGAATGCACCGACTTTCGCGACGCACCAGACTTCAACCACAGGAAACAGATCGACAAGCGGCCGTCTCTCCCCAACGATCCGTCACGATTTCACTAAACTTCTCAATGCACAAACGGGTGACGCCTTTCCCAGGTACGACACACTTCCTTATATTCAATTTCCTTCCGTGATTAACGTTAATTTGTTTGACATACTCCTCCCATTTTGCGTAACGTGACAGTGAAAGTAAACAATCAATTATGTGACTCGCGGCACAGATTTTCTTCATTGCCACACTCTCCCCCCCTAGAAGAAAACAACCCATGGTTGTTTAAAAGAGAGAGAAACCAACAATTAAAATCCTAGAAAATCTTCGTCATCTGAGGTTTCTTGGAATAGATCCAGGAGTTTCGCTTTTTCCTGTAATTCAATTTCCGCAGCCGTTGGATAACACATTTTCAAATTGCAAACGTGAGCTGTGCGTACATCTTCTCCTGTGTCTTCAAGGGCTATTTGGTAGTTCACAGGACCCAGCTGCTGGAGAATACGGTAAGGACCTTTCCATTTTTGTGCTAGTTTTGCACTAAATTTACGCTGTGCATTAGACTGAGGAAAGTTGCGCAACCACACTCGGTCTTTGTTTTTGAATAGTTCATCTCTTCTATTCTTGTTATAATTTCGCAATTGTCTCATTTTGGCTTTCTTGCTATTCTCTTTGGCTTGAGCTTGCAGGTGATGGAGATGATGAACTACATCATAGGAGGCAGCGTCTGGAGTTAGATTAGGCCCACAGAGTATTTTGTCCATTGGACTTTGGAGTTTTCTACCAAGCTGGAGTTCTGCTGGGGTTAGTCCAGTGGTCTCTTGAACAGCTGAATTAAGGGCGAATCTGAATTCTGGTAAGAATTGGTCCCATTTCTGGTGATTGTCATCCACATAGGCTGCCATCATGCTCTTGAGAGTTCGATTTACTCTTTCGGTCATGTTGGTCTGTGGGTGATAGGCTGTAGTTAATTTAGGAGTAACACTCCAGTTCTCACATAGTTCTCTAAAAACAGATGAAACAAACTGAGCGCCTCTATCTGAGAGAATGAAATCCGGTACGCCCCACCGTGTTAGGATGTCTTTCCTGAAGATGGTGGCGATATTCTTGGCTGTGGCATTGCGAATGGGAAACAACTCAACCCATGGGGAATAGTAATCGACAAAAACCAACAGGTATTCATTTTGATTTGTGCTACGGGGTAATGGTCCCATGAGGTCGACTCCCAGCATTTGGTTTGGGCGGCTGGTAGTGAATTGCTGTAACTTTCCAGCAGGTTTTCGGTTATCACTTTTCAGAGTCTGACATTTTACACAGGTTCTCACATGCTGTTTTACGGCTGTCCACATGCCAGGCCAGAATGCTACTTCCTGAAGTCGTTTATACATCTGGATGAACCCTCCATTCTCCTGGATGTACTTGATCCCTGGAAAGAGCATCTGCTGTCTGATTGCACGCTCCTGGAATATGAGCTGCCCTCAGTGAAGCGAGTTGTGGCTGACACCATGTCAGAATCTCGTGAGTCAGCAGTAGAGACCCGAGGGGGATCTCGTGCCGCTCTGGTGGTTCAGATGGAACACTGTTGAGGTATTGTGTGACCGAACGAGAACATGGCGGCCTGCCAGAACCGCCATGAAGTACTTTAGGGCCAAGAACACTGCCCTTAGTTCTAGCAGGTTGATATGTTCTGTGGCCTGGATTGGTGTCCAGCGCCCGCAAATACCCCTCCGATTCCAGGTTGCCCCCCATCCTGTGAGGGAAGCGTCTGTTGTGACCAACTCCCGGCGAGAGGGAACAATACCCAGGGGCACTCCTGCCTTTAGGAACTCTAACTGTCTCCACCGCCTCAACGCACATATGCAACGGTGAGAAATCATACCCAGTCGATGGCGATGTCTGGTGGGATCTAGCCGCAAACTGTTCTTCCATAACTGGAGTGGTCTGAGGTGGAGTAAACCCAGGGGGATCACCACTGTAGCCACTGTTAACATCCCTATCAGTCGTAGGACCACCTCGTACTGCAAAGACACACCCGGCGAAAGCGAGCCAAAAGTTGCAGAATGTTCGTCACAAGTTCCTGAGACAGGGAGGCAGACATTAGGCAGGAATTCATGGTCATTCCTATGAACGTAGGGGTCTGTGATGGAATCAGACGGCTCTTTTTCTCCTTCACAGAAAAACCCAGCTTCTGCACATGTCTCAAAAGAATTCTGGAGTCTTGTACAGCCTGCTGCTCTGTGGGGGCACAGAGAAGCCAGTCATCCAAATAAGGAAGAATACGCAGTCCTCTCATCCAAAGAGGGGACAGAGCTGCACTCACACACCTTGTGAAGACGCGAGGAGCAAGGGAAAGGCCGAAGGGTAGCACTTTGAACTGGTAAGCTTGATTCAGGAAACTGAAACGCAGAAACTTTCTGTGATGCACAGCAATTGGGACGTGAAAGTATGCATCCTTCAGGTCGACACTTACAAACCAATCGTCTGCCGTCACAGACCGGAGAACATCGGCTGTGCGCAGCATTCGAAAAGGAAGGACCTTCAGGTACAAATTCAGAAGCCTCAAATTGAGAATTGGGCGGAAACCACCGTCCTTCTTTGGAACAAGAAAATATGTTGAATAGAACCCGTCTCCCTGAACGAGGGGATGAACTTTTTCTATGGCTCCCTTCTCTAGCAGTGAACAAATTTCCAGAGTGTGAGCCACTGCGCGAACCGCGTCTCTGACAATCGTAGAAACGATTCTTGAAAATCTGGGAGGCCGGCGTCGAAATTGTAGAGTATATCCCCTGCTCAGAGTCGCCAACACCCAGGGGTCTGTTGTGTTGTATCTCCAGTACTCCAGTTGATCTATAGAAAAACGATCGACCTCCGGCCTGACTGTCTCAGGCATTATGTGTACGATTTTTAGTGGTCGCGGGGGGGCGCTGACGGGGTCCTCCCGGGAACTGACGATCAGGTGGGCGAAAAACTCTCGCATCTTCAGGAACACGAGGTCTTTGTGGGGGCTGTGACTGAGGTGCAGCGTGCCGGCGGAAACGTTGCTCCGATGTGGCATAGTGATGTCGGGTCTGAACCGCTGGCATCCTAAAGGTAGGGTTGCGCTGCACCTGTGTCAGTTGACGAGTGGCTTCAGACAGCTTTACCCTCTTTTCCAACAGTTCCGGAACATTCGGACCAAAAAGATGCCCGGGAACAAATGGAAGATCTCTCAAGGTTTTCTTACAGTCCTCCGGCAGTCGTGCTTGGGCAAGCCACACTTGGCGGCGGGCTGCCAGAAGCGTGGCTGTAAGACTACCCAGCTCGCGGGTCACATGGCCTGTTGCCAACAGAGCAGTTTGCAGGAATTGTGAAATAGATGGATCCGCATTTGTAGGTTCCAGCGTACTGGTGGCAGCAAGAAGTAACTGGCAGATGGTGTTTTCTGCTCGAGTAATGTAGGCAACAGACTCATATGCCTTTTTTAGCAAGGAATCCGTACGACCGCATTGCGCACTGGGACATCGCACATTCCCTCGTAGAGCCTCATCAGGAGACACCACCAAAGCTGCCACAGGCTGCTCTATTTCCGGAGCACGACCCACCCCGATAGAATCTGCTTTAGCCATAGATGCTAGCGTTTCGAGCAACCTTAGAGCGCCACTTCGGCGGACCAGAACCAGTGAGAGCATTTGAGATTTCAGCCACAAAATCCTTACATGGTGGCATGGCAAAAGAAGTTGCAGGCTGTGGTCTGTCTGAAAAACACATTCGTTTGGGCAGATTGGACAGGTGACTCATCAAGTCCTAGACGATCAGCTGCCATTCGAAGCACAGCCAAAGTGTCATCGGAGGAGGACTGGGCTTGTCCAGACGACTGAACTGACTCCCCACTAGACCCCTCCGCTGCTGGGTAACCAGTGAAAACAGCCTGAGGTGACGGTTGAGCAGCAACATCCATAGTATCCCCATGATAATGAAAAAAGGAATCTGAAGCACTTGTAGAAAGCACATCAAACTCTGAACGATGAGAAAAACAAGGGGAATCAAGAGACTCTTCCCCAGCTCCTTGATTCTGAACATTCTCATCCTCCTGTGTCATCCTCACAGGTGTAGTAGATGTGACAGGCTGAAACGAGTGAAGCAGGCGTTTCAGCTCTGCCATTTCTGAAGAAAGCATCGACACCGTCATAGAAAGTGAACCTTTCTCAACATGTGAATGTTCATCACCTCGCGATTTGGCCTTCTTAGCTGGGAGAGGAGCACCAGCTGCCGCCGACGCCCTGCGCTTCCGAGTGCGCGAAGGGGGTACATCTAACTGCCCAAGTTTCACTGTTGAATTAGGGTCTTACTCGGCAAGATGGAGCCGTCATTCCGACATAGGCAAAAGGCTGCAGTGCACGCACGGGTCCGTGAGAGCCTCTCGCAGATGTTGAATACCCAAACACGACGGGCAGATGTCATGACCGTCGTCAGGGAGAAGATTATTAGGGCACAGCTTACAAGTCAGTGGAAAACCAGTGGCGATCGAGCCGTGAGCCATAGTTACTCGCTAATAACACCCTCGGATAGGACCGTAAGGTTAAGTTAAGCAGGATGAAAATAATTAAAATAAAATAAAACGATTACCTCTGGTGAACCGATTTGTTGGTATTAATTGTCTGTATTACCAACAAATATCTCAGGAAAAAGATAAAAAGTGTCTAAAATGGCCGGCGGATTGAACCGAGGGACAAAAAGTGAAAAATGGATTGGAGAAAAAATACATATATTTAGAGTAACGGGAGACCGTTAAGCCATAGGCGCGGAAAACACAAGCCACCGGATAGCACCGGGAGGCACAGAGTGTCACCGACGAAGCAATATAAACTCACCAAAATGTATTCTAAATCCTTGAATGGCGTAGACATGCGCTGTCACAGCTTGTGAGGACGAATCTCGCTGCTCTTGTAAGCTGCACTTGACAGCGTGAATAATCACTCAATCAATACAACCTATCTCAACCAGGCGAGAAAGCGAAAGAGGTAGAGTGCTGAGCTAAATTCGGAATAGCATACTAGCATAATACTCAGGGCCGTTTCTAGGCATAAGTGCACTAGGCGTTCGCTGGAGGGGGGCGCCAATGAGTGCATACAAAGCCAAGTGAAGGGAATGCTTCACTATGCAAAATATTCAGCTTTTCTGAGGAAATAGCTTGTCAGATTCAGATTCATTTTATTTAAATAGGGACAATGCACAAGTTAACATTAACCTTGTTTAAAAACAAAGAGAGATGCATTGTGCCAGGTTGTAGCACAAGTGCTATTTTCCGCCCGTAGTCCCTTGGCAGAGTAGAATACAAAACATTAAAATATAAAATTTTCTAACCATAAAATTAATTTACAATTAAAACTAACATATGCTCAATTTTTCCCCTTTCCTAAAACCAACCCCACCCCACCCCACATCGACAAAACTAAACAATCAAGATCCCTACCTCTCCCAGTACAAAACACACACACACACACACACACGCACACACACACACACATTTCATAGATGTGTACAGTTTTGTTGTGACAATAACCATGCTTTTGTCAAACTCGAGAAGGTTTGAGGATTTGTACATGTAATAAGGTGTGTGGGGAGAGTATTCCACTGAGTTACAGCCACAAAAGAAAAGGCTGATTTGCCAAATGAGGTTTTGCGATTTGGAATATTGCATTCTCCTCTAGTGGCGGACCGAGTAGCTCTTTTTTTTTTCAGAGTTGAGCTCAATAAATGTTTTTTAGAGGAGGAGCGACAGCATTATGAATGATTTTAAAAAGTAAACAGACATTCGAATGCATTATCAAATTTCCAAAATTTAAAATATTATACTTAGTCATTATTTTGCAGTGGTGATATTGACGAGTCTTTTTATCATGGATCTTAAGGGCTGTTTTATATAATGATTCAAGTGGTCTCAAGCTTGTCTTTCCTGCTTGAGCCCAACTTGTCATGCAATACAATACTTGTCACTTAATGAATCGACAGCCGCTAATCTTCAACATGTTTTACGCTAAACAATACTTTTGTTGGTAACTGTATGTAGATTTAGATGTAGAATCTCGCGACAGAT